TCCTGCCTCATCACACCTGTCCTGCCTCATCACACCTGTCCTGCCTCGTCGCACCTGTGCACCTGGAGCACATGACTCCCCCTAGTGTTCACAAATAAAACAACACAAACATCATAAAATGGCTCTAACACAATTTACTGCACGTTTACAATCTCAAAGTGGTACAATATAAAACATCTAGAAAATAATACACAAACTAAGTCCTTAAGTTATTTTGCACACAATGGAATTTGTATAGAACAATAATAACAATAATAATGATAATTATTATTGTTATTATTGTTAGAAGGGCTCCAGATGGAGCTCGCCCTGAGCTGCCATCAGACGACCTGCAGCTCAGTGAACCGTTGGCCACGAGCGCACGTCGCCTGCACACGGTGCACAGCAGTACACTGTACATTCAGTCTACTCACCGTTCAGCGAGTTACTTCATGTAAAACGTTGAAGTCAGCGTTTGGCATGAAGAGCTCCACTGAGCTCTCCAGAACCTTCTGCCAAGAAGAAAACAAAGACGACAGAAAACGTGCAGCGTCAACAAAAACAAGCCGTTTTATTAGTTTAGGAGTAACAAGTGGAGTGGACATGTGAGCAGAGCGATGACGACACGCTCCTGCCACGCCTCGCAGAACCACAGGTTACCGAGTGTTCACCTGCAACGAGAAGGAACACGGAGAACGTTTGAGCCCACGTGCTGAATGTTTCACAGCACAACAGTGAAAGGACAGAAAGTGAGAGTTGATCCGCAGCAGAGTCTCTTCTCACCACGTCGTCGATCTTCAGGATGCTGCGCACGGTTTCTGTAGCCAGGGTCAGCGCGCTGATGGAGACCAGGAGAGGCTGCACCACCAGCTCCTCCAGGATGTTGGAGATTCCTCCCTGTCACGCACACGTGCAACGGGTCACGTAAAGCAGGTCATACCACCACACGCCCTCCATCATACGTGCGCCGCGTGTTCACGTGCGGAGCAGAAGACCAGAAGGTCAGCAAAAGGAAAACGAGCAAACCTTGCGAACGTTGATGCCGGCCATCTTGTCGCCGTGCGCATGTCTGTTGCGGAGCTCCGTCACAGTGGAGATCGGGTTCAGACCTGCATTCTCAGCAAGTGTGGAGGGGATCACCTCCAGGGCGTCGGCGTACGCCCGCACACAGTACGCCTCCATGCCCCCCAGGGCCTGCGAGTACTCCGACAGCCGCACGGCCAGCTCGATCTCTGGAGCTCCACCTCCAGCTATCAGAGCCCTGAGGGACAGAGGAGCACGACACCTGCACATCAGTTCTCTCCTTGACCGGTTTCAAACAGCAAACCTGCGGGCTCCTGCTGGGCACTGACTGAACATGTCAGAACGCTCCCCAGCCACGCTGCTGCAGCAAGCAGCACAGCACGACGGAGCCGTCTACAGTGCTGTTCCTCTGGTTGTTACGCTGCTGCAGGAAGAAGCCAGGCAGCAGCGCCTTTGTCAGAGGGCGGGTCAGCGTGCACGCAGGGGCACCGACACCACACGCACAGTGCACTGACCTCTTCTTGACCAGGCAGCGGATGACGCACAGCGCATCATGGATGGAGCGCTCCGCCTCCTCGATCACGAGCTTGTTGGAGCCCCTGACCACGATGCTCACGGTTCTTCCAGGGCTGCTGCAGCCGGTGACCTGCCACAAACAACAAGTTGTTCCAGCTCGTTCTCAGCGCGGAGCGACACGAGCACCTGGACGAGACAACACTTCTGTACCTTCACCAGTTTGCCTGAGCCGTCCAGGCTCACCTCCTCAGCCATCTCCGCCGTGCCGAGCATTTCAGCTGTGAAGTGGTCGATGTGGGCGATGGGTTTGGTGCCGATCGTCTAAAACGGAACAACGGTTTTACTTTAAAACACATTTGACAACGACTCTGCTGATTAAAAACCACCAAGAGGAACTGAAAACTCCCACACCAGCAAATTAGTTTTAGCTACTACTACACTGAAACTTAGACGAGCATCTGTAAAACTGTGATTAAGGTCAGCTTGCTGTGGCAGCCATCTTGGATTGGGTTGGAAAAGTTAATCAGTTGTAGACACATTAGAATAATTACGTATAATTCATGAGGTATTTTGCTAACAGATTAAGAAACAAACAGCTTCTCAGATCAGCTGCTTTTAACGATCCAAAAACGTGATTTGTATCGTTACAATGGATTTTAAAGAGACAGGGAGGGGTCAGTGAAGAACACCGGAGACCAGCCTCGTCTCATCCAGAGTCTTCACTAGAAAGAGACACGAAGAAACAACGAATGAAAACCAGCTCAATAATTTTCATTTATCATGCGATTAATTGATTTATTGATCGCTGTGACAGGCCTGACAACAAGCTGACATGATGAGGTCATCATGATGAGCTCAACACGATGACCTCACCATGAGGTCATCATGTTGAGGATGAGGTCATCATGATGACCTCATCATGTTGAGCTCATCATGATGACCTCAACATGAGGTCATCATGTTGACCTCATGATGATGACCTCATTATGTTGAGGTCATCATGAGGTAAACATGATGACCTCAACACGATGACCTCATCATGTTGAGGTCAGGTCAGAACAATGACGAGCGTTTTCATTCACATGAATCCAGCTGGACCAGCGGCAGCATTCATCAAACACTCACCTTACAGATGAACTCAATGTCCTCCCTCTCAATGTCCTTCACCACCATGATCTTCATTTTGTTCAGGAAGTGCAGAGCGAGGTCGCTCAGCGCATCTCTGCCACAGGAACGAACACGTTAGTGACACGTCGCCACTGTTCCATTAAAACCATGAGAGCACGAGCTTGGTTCTACCTAAGGATGGACTTCTGGACGAGCAGCACGTTGCAGCCCGCTTTCTTGATCTGTTTCACCAAGTTCAGGATGTAGGTGCGCTCCTCCCGCAGCACCCGGTCCATCTGGGCGTAATCCGACACCACAATTTGGTTGTCCATCTGTTGGGGGGGGGGGGGGGGGGGGGAGAATACAGTACGAAAAAAACGTGATGCGTGGTCGTATTTTTTTATTTTTTTTTT